TTGCTTGAACGTGCAAGGTGAAGGTTGCAGTGAGCCGAGATCACGCCATTGCACTCCAGCCTGGGCAACAAGAGTGAAACTTCATCACAATAAATAAATAAATAAATAAATAAATAAATAAATAAATATTTTTTAAAAATTCAGGAGGGAGTGGAGATAAATGAATATACAGTTGGTTCTTCACATTTTCTTCAGCGTGATAGCTCACAGCCATCATATCGTTTCCTTTCTTGTAATTATTTGTTGTCTTCCGTCTCCTACATATGAGCTCTGGCCATAAATGGCTGCATATATACAGTGCAATGCTTCCTCTTGTTTTATTTGCTTTGAGCAGACACTCTTGGAAGTTCCCTGGTAGAAGTGACTCAGGGGCCAACTGAAATGACAGTCGTAGTCTTGATCCCCGGCTTCTGTTCCTTCTCCTTGTAACTATTGTTCCTCGTAACTGTTGTTCTTTACAATAACTCGTGAAATATTTTATTTATAGTAAACTCCAGGATTAATTGTTTTGAGGTTTGAAATAATAATACAGAATTCCAAGCCTTTGAAAGTTTAATGTGAATTCCTACAGGACTTTAGGTATGATTCTTCTGGAAGGCAGATTCTTTCCAGGTTTGGGTTGACTTAACAGAAACTTTTGAATTGGATACATTTTCTCTGTTCTCTCTTACAGTCGGATGCCTCCTCCCTGTAGTGATTCCTGTGACTTTGATGACCCCAGGCTGTTGAAGAACATTGAGGATCGCCATGTAAGTGCTCTGCTTTACTTTGAAGACAGCAAACAGCTTACTATGCACCTTTCTTATAGATACGCGTGTAGTATTTTGCAAATTGCAGTTTTAGAGGCCGGGAAAAGTCTCAGTTTGATGGTGTGAGTCCTTCTGAGAAGTGATCTGAGATGCTTTGTGGTGAACACTGTGCATGAGTTAGTGTATTTCAATACATGATGACTTTGTAAAGTAGCACACCAAGATCAAGACAAGTCTTACCACAGAATTCTGTAACAGTTCCAGTTGCTGTTGCTTTGTAAGATTTCTGCAGTACTATTTCGTCACAGTTGTGAATCTAAGAGGCCAAGTGTAATTGCATATCCTTTGACTAGGATACTTTAGGAAACAAAAGTAAGATCTATATAATAACAGGTTGCATTTATTGCATTCTACTGTGTGCCAGGCAACTAACATATATTTCCTTCAACATTTTAGTCAACATCTGAATCACATCTGGGAGGTGACAAGGAAGTTAAATAAAAGATTAAATTGGTAAATAGTTGCCCAGCACATAAATGTAGAAATGAGCCTTAAACCTCGGTGTGTTAGATTTTTAACTATGACATCACACCACTTCAAATCAGTATTAACTGCAGCATCGCATCAATTCACTGTTATTTTATTTATGTATGTATTTTTAATTTTTCTATAAGTTATTGGGGAAGAGGTGGTATTTGGTTACATGAGTAAGTTCTTTAGTGGTGATTTGTGAGATTTTGGTGCACCCATCACCTGAGCAGTATACACTGCACCATATTTGTAGTCTTTTATCCCTCGCCTCCCTCTCACCCTTCCCC